ACAAATTCCATCCACCTTTCATACTTAGGGAAATTCAAGTGTTTGATGTCAAAAGCTATTTAGAGAATCTTGGTTTTGGCCCATAGAACTCTCCTTTTACTTCAGCTGTAAACTAAAGCTTGCCTAAACTTCTGCTAAAACTTGTTTGAACATCAGACAAAATCTCTCAGTGTCGTTTGCATATCTGTTTTTCCTGAGACTTTCCGTTTTTTGGTTTCTCCTTCCAGGGGAGGACTTCCCCATGTGGATGGTCCCCATAAGCATTTGTACAAGTGATGACCCCACCTGTGCCAAAATGCAAATATTGGGACAAGGCACAGAGCTGACCCTGGTTTTGAAAGACACAAAACCAGACCAGTGGGTGAAGGTAAGCTGGCACAAAAGAAAACATATTCCTGGCACTAAGAGCCTGTGTCACTGTGAAGTTCCCCAGCATTTCATTTTCCTCTCTCCTCTTTTATGTTTTTGTTTGTTTTACTTGCAGTCTTGCATTGAAAGGACCTCGCTCTGCTGCTGTTGGATATTTGCTCCTTTCTGTAATGCTGCTTAGTGTGGTCCTTTCCCTTCGGGGTTTGTTTCCAAGAGTAGTCTAGACAATGTAAACTCAAACCATTTAAAAGTCCAGTCTCGGAAAAAAAGTGCTATTAAATAGAGGCAGCTTTTGAGTTGAACTGTGGTGGCTCTTTCAGTATCCCATAGCAACCACAGCTTAGTTAAAGTCCATCCTGAGCTAAAATAGTTCTATTTATCTTTCATTAGCGTGAGGGTTTTCTACTGACCACTAATCGGCAAGTACAAATCTGCAAGTAGAAAAAATCACTGGGATCTGTGGCAGCCACCAGTCAGAAATGAAACTTAAAAACGGAAAGGCAGCAACTGGTTGGGATTACTGCTGTATGAGCTACTGTACTGAGTAGTTGCTCCTAAACTGGAGCTGTAATCTGAGATGACTGTGAAATAACGTTCTTTTCTTTTTCTGATTCTGATTTCCTTTTCTGATTCTGTATCAAATCTTCCCATTTGACTAGTGCAGAATTCCACCTGTTAGGCCCGGGTATTCCCTGGAAACACCGCATCAGTCTGGTGCCTTGCTGGGAACAGAGGGGCATGTAATGGAAACTGTGGAAAACCCCATGTCTAAGTGAGGTGAAACTTGTTGTTGCTGCCTGAGAAAGCAGGAATCCAGGGAGCCCAAGGTCAGCTGTAGGACTTGTGGCTACAGAGGTGGTCGCTCTGGATTTCTTGGCTTGTCCTGTAGTCCTCTTGATGACAGGACACGTGGACTGGCCACAGTTACAGTGCCACTGGGTGCTGTTGTTCAACAAATCCCCCCAAAATTAGTATGGAACTCCCTGAGCTCACCAGCAGCGCCCTGCTCTTACCTAGGGTGGAGATGCTTAGATGCTTGCTTGCCTCTTTTTTAAGGATGTGGAAAGATTCATGCAAATTATATTCAGAAAAATTGAGTGATTCCTGAATGTTGCGGTGGTTCTTTCTCCACCAAAGTTGAATTGAGCAAACTGCGGGAGTGAGGCCACATGGGATTTGGCTTTCCCTAGAACAGCTAAATTTGAACTGAAAAGTCCTTGTCCCAGCTGGATGTTCCAGGAGTCCAGACCCTGGCACCTGCAGCTTTCCCCAGCTTGTTCTCTCAGGTGCATCAGTTAAGAGTTATCCCCAAAAGAGAAGTTTCTTTTCTCTCCTTGCTCCTTGTTTTAACTCTAGTTTCTTCTCTCCTCCTGCAAAACTGTCCCAGCTTTCTCCTGCATTCTGCACTTCTCAGCGAGCGTTTCTTGTTTAATGTCTCTTTAGTCTTTTCCACCTATAAATTTATAATTCCTTCTTTTGATTCCTGCACAAAATAGTAATGATTTAAAATGACAATGGCTTCTCTGTACTGCAGTGCTTTGAGAAACTTCTAATGGTCCAAAAATAAAAAGGCATTTCCTTATTTATTCCTTTTTTTCTTTTTACTCTTCGGTGCATTTCAGTTGAACCTGGGAACAGTAGGGTTTTATCGGACTCAGTACAGCCCTGACATGCTGGAGAGTTTAATACCAGCGATCAAAGACCTCTCCCTCCCCCCTGTGGACAGGCTCGGCCTGCAGAACGATCTCTTCTCTCTGGTGAGCAACATTTTGTTATGTCGTGTTCTGCTGTCTAATACCACGAGCTGCAGTAACTGCAAAACCAGGCTGCAGCTTCTGGAGGCAAAACACCTCTGAGATGACTGCATGCACCTAGCTATTAATTAGCATTCCAGGTTCCAACTTGCATGATAAGACTCAAAGCCTGGGTTAGCAGCCGCTCTGTAATTTCTGTTTTACTGTTCTCCATAGCGGTGTATCATTTTATCTTATCAATTTATCTCCTCTCATTTAATAAGCCTCAAAGGCTTTATCAGCACCAGGTGATGTACTTACATGGGCTTGTTCAAGCAGACTTCCACTGCCGAAACTGGCTGCTGTGGATTCTTACTGTTGAAAAGCCATGGATTTTACCCCTAAAGAAGGGAGATAGCAGCTCTGAACAACTAGTTACTGTCCTTTGTATTTCAAATTGCACTTTCCTATTCTTGCTAGTCAGCAAATACATGAAAGCTTTTAAATGTGGTTTTCATCCCCTGTTCGTCTAGATTCAGAGCTTGCAACTCTTGCCAGGGCTTAGCTGAAAGTATGCAAAACTGTAGCTTGAGTCTGTTTCCCAAATATTTCAGGCCCATGGGACAAAAAAAAATGAGTAAATAGTACACATAAGAACATCATGTGATAGGTTTTGGTTTCAACTCTAATTTATCTTTTTGTCACAGTTGAAGATAGCTTAAATAGTAAAAACTAACCTCCGCTCCTATTTCTGTACCATAAGTTATTGTTCTGTTGCCAGATTAGTAAAACCTGAGCAATGTGCTTGGAGATGACGGCTTTAGATACCAGGAACTCAACTAAGCACAGAGTGTTTTTTTTCACCCTGTTCTGAGCAGTTAATATGAAATTTTCCAGGCAGAGGTGGAAAGGCAGCACATTTTGTACTAACTCATGAAAGCAGGAAGTGAAAATGACTTCTGCAGTTTTATACTCTGAATTTTCATGAAAAGCAAAAACTAAATTTCTAAGCCTTTATACTTTCTTTTAGTTAAAGTAAGATTTTGCTGGGCGTAGCATCTGGCTAAGAATATTTCTGGGGGTTTTGTTATCTCTTGCCAGCATTACTGCAATTTTGATAAGTCACTTAATCTCTTTGTCTGTTTCCTGTTTGCAAAATGTGCTGATAATTACGTAGCTGTCTCCTTGTAAAGTGCTCACGTGCATGTAAGGCATCGTGTGCCCTGAGCAGGCAGCTCCACTGCTCTCACTAGTGCCCACCTGCCCTGGCAGAACCCCACAGCAGAGAAAAATGCTCAGAATATGCAAACTGAACAGGGAAGGCTGTTAAATAATGCAGTGATCCTTTTGGAAATAAGATTAATCTGTGTCTTTTCCTCTCCCAGGCTCGAGCTGGAATCATTAGCACTGTAGAGGTTCTAAAAGTCATGGAAGCTTTTGTGAATGAGCCCAATTATACTGTGTGGAGCGACCTCAGCTGTAACCTGGGGATTCTCTCAACTCTCTTGTCCCACACAGACTTCTATGAGGAAATCCAGGTCTTCGTGAAAGATGTCTTCTCACCGATAGGGGAGAGACTGGGATGGGACCCCAAACCTGGAGAGGGTAGGAAACTTATGCTGTGAAATCCAGTAGTGGCTGTTGTGCACCTGCTTGATGACCTGCTGGTCATCAAGAATTCAGGATGGGGAGAGACAAGGGAAGAAGAAACACTGAAGTAGGTGGTTGGGGTGTTTTTATACTTGGAAACAAACCAAAACACACACAACCCTCTCAAGCCCAAGGTCTAGTGCTATTTTTTTTCTCTCCTTGGTTTCTGTTCCATAAAAATTCTCTGTTCTAGCTGCGTATCTCATAGAGTGCCTGCCTCTTGTTCCACTGAATGGATGTAAAGCTCTATGCATGTGTGTTTACTTACTGTACTGAAGAGTCCTGTTGTAGACTCAAGTGGCAATTACTGCTGCCTTGGCTCAGACTGCAGGCCTGGCCTGTTGTGTTTTGGTCCACAGCATCGTCCTCTTTGACCTTCCGGGCGTAAAAAGAAGTGAAAGCTTCTCCAGGTGGCACCAAGGAGAGTGGAAAAGGTCTATTTTCTTTACAGAGCCTCAAATATATGGGAGGATTATTATTCAGTTCTATGCTAATCACTGTACATGAAAGAACACTTTATAAGTTTAACCACTGAACGATGTCCCCAAATAATTCTTGTTTTCCCTCATACTCATTCATTAGGTCATCTGGATGCCCTTCTGAGGGGTCTGGTCTTGGGCAAACTAGGAAAAGCTGGGCACAAGGCAACACTAGAAGAAGCCCGACGTCGATTTAAGGACCATGTGGAAGGAAAACACATCCTGTCAGCGGATCTGAGGAGTCCTGTAGGTTCCTGTAAACTTCAGTTCCCAAAGATCATCCCCCTCCCTTCACTAATGCAGCGTGCGTTGAGCTGTTCCTATTCCAAGAACAGGCAAGCTAGGGGAAACCAGTGTCATGGTATGAGAGCGTTACCTTTAATCTAAGTCCAGGAAACTAAGGAAGGGTGTAAGGAGCTGATGTGGAATCCTTAAAACACAGTCTTAAAATGTAGGAGGGATCAGTGTGGATCTCTTCCAGATCAATTTGTCTGAATTCTTAACCAGTTCTTACATGTATGGGTATGTATCCTGTCTTAGAGCCCTTTCCACATTAGCAGCTTTTTATTGTGTTTCTAAAAAATGTGATTTGTGAAGAACCTTCCTTATTTATGCTCTATCTTAGGTATATGTAACTATTCTGAAGCATGGAGATAGTACTACTTTAGACACTATGCTAAAGGTGAGTGCACACAGCATCAGTTTTGGCAGTCAAAAACTAGTTATTCTATCCTGTAAGTTCCTCTAAGATGTATTTTTTCCCGAAATCAGCACTAATCCTGTGTTTCACAGACAATGTGACAAGTAGGCCCATGTCACGCTCTGTCCCTGCTCCGTGGGCAGTGCTCAATTGCCACCTAGTGGGTAGTTGCAGAGTTTCATTGCTCAAAGGCTTGGTCTTACTTGACCTTATATAAACAGTGGCAAAGATTAGTTTGTTACTAATGGTGCTTTCTCCTGATGTGCATGTAATAAGGTGCCTAATATTAGTGAATAATCCTGCAGCTGTTCACATGTCCATTTCCCTACGTTTTGCCTGAAGACTAATCTAGCAGCACTAATGACAGAGCAGATTCAGTAGCTCTAGGTAAGAGGAATTCATTGAGTAGCACTGTGTGTTAATGCTGTTCCCTCTGGCTTTGAAGCTCCACAAGCAAGCAGACATGCAGGAGGAGAAGAATCGAATTGAACGCGTTCTTGGAGCCATCTCTCAACCAGAACTGATTCAAAAAGTTCTCACCTTTGCACTTTCAGTAAGTTACTGGGAAAGCTGCCACAATTTTATGAGAATGATGTAGGTAGAGCACGTGGTGATAGTGCTGTGTGCTCTTGAACAGGATGGAGCATTTCAGCTGTTAAATAGTGAGCTGTATCTTAAGCTACTATATATCTTTGAAAGTTTTTGTGCAAAAAAAACTCCATCTTTGACAGACTGAGTGTAGAAATGCATAAAGCCAGCGTGTTGCATGTGTTGAAACAGTCTTGAGCGTTTATCTGCGTTTCCCTCCTCAGGAAGAGGTACGTCCCCAGGACACAGTGTCTGTTATTGGTGGAGTAGCTGGAGGCAGCAAGCAGGGGAGGAAAGCTGCCTGGAAATTTGTAAGGGATAATTGGGAGGAACTTTATAATCGCTACCAAGGTGGATTCTTAATATCCAGACTAATAAAGGTATGTGCAACTTCCAGAAAAATCTCACTTATATAGATGTCCAAAATTAACCATTGAATTTAAAATACTTACCCTTGGTTAATTTTTTTTTTCCCTCAGCTAACAGTGGACGGATTTGCAAATGATAAGATGGCTGCAGAGGTTAAGGTAAGAAATTATTTTTAAAAATAAGTGATTTACTTTATCCATGATAGACGGAGTATAGTTCACTTGGGGAAGCTAACTTTTTACTTTAAACAATGTAAACCTGATTCCAGGATCCCTTGTTATAGCTCCTGTTTCAGGACATGCTGATTTACAAAACTTTCCTTTCTGTTTAATGATCTGTGATCTTATTCCCCTTAGAACAGATTTAGCAGCATTGCTTCACAGGGAAATCTTGCAGTACAAATCCCATGAGTGTCCGTGTCCGCAGCAGACACTAAGGATCTGCTGAATGTTGGGAAAAGCCTGTTTTTACGAAGGTGGGGATGACTCTGCACTGTGTCCCTTATTCTGCCCTTTAGCCAAGCGTGGAGTGCAGGGTCGCAGCAGTGTCTGTAGCTGCTTCAGCTTCGACTCCTTGCAGCAGCTCATCAATATTGTGGATTCTGGGGAAAGCACCGAGTGCTGCTGGTCGTGGACGTCCTTACACAGTTGGGCAGGGCCTACTTAAGACAGAGTGCCAGGAAATCGGATACCTGGACAAGTGCTTCTGCAGAATGGCCTTAGGCTGCAGTTAGTGCCTTCTTCCAAGTATCCAGAAATACACGGCTGATTTCCTGCTTGTTGCTGCCTCCCGGTGACGGTCGGAATTCTGACATCTCCGCAAGTCCCCGGCCACCTGGAGGAGCCGGAGGCGGCCGCGTTGGGCCTGGTTTGTAGCCACGATGCTGCAGCTTCCCTTGAGCAGAGAAACGGGACATGCTGCTGCTCCCGCTGCTTCCGCTCACGCACGTCCTGCGAACGTCGTGACGGTGGTGGGAGAAGGCAGGACAAGCAGCCCCATTCCTGGGAACATTCCTGCAGAGCCTTAGGGAATCTGGTGCCTAGAAACCCCGTCCTGCCCGTGCGGTCCCCGCGCTCACGGCTGCCTGTGTGCTTTCCCCCAGGCCTTCTTCGAGAGCCACCCCGCTCCGTCGGCGGAGCGCACGGTGCAGCAGTGCTGCGAGAACATCCTGCTCAACGCGGCCTGGCTGCGGCGCGACGCCGACCACATCCACGAGTACCTGGAGCAGCGCAAGGGCCCCCCGGCCGCCGCGGGAGCCCCGCGGCGCCGCCGCTGCCGTCCCGCGGCCCCAGCACGGCCCGAGAGGAGCCACCCCACAGCTGATCCATATGCCAAGAATTTGGAGTCTTTTTCTCAAAGCGATGGGGATTGGACGATGAATGTAGTTAACTGGTTCCTGCTCACACTCCAGAATTAAATTCTATTAAAATTATCAGCAATTCAGCAAAAAAAAAATAAAAGTAAAAAATCTGTAAATATGATAGTAATAAAAATAGAGCATAACAAAACTGTGAAACTTCCTCAAGCCTTGTCAGTGGTTAAAATATTTAACACCTACCCCCCATCCCAACACTTATTGACAGATGTTCTGTTTTTTACAGTCCCCCTCCCCCAAATAAGACAAAAAAGACAACCAGAGGTTTCCAGGCCAGAGGAATTTTGTGGAGAGTCTGGGGCAGGAATGGGTTAATGCCGGTGGGAGCATTATGTGAACAGTTCACTGGGAAAGGCAGGTAGCTGATATAAGATAGTCTGTGCATAATTCCAAGCGCGAGGTTTTGGGGAGATGTTCCTGCACCCCCCAACCCACCCCGAGGATCGTAGGTTCCCTCCCTTTTGTGTTACCTCTCAGCAAAACGAAAAATGTTCTGTCGCTCTTCGGTTTTTCTCCTTGGTTCCATTTGCTGATGTCCTTCTTAGAGATAACGGAATTGTACGGAAACATCTTTCATAGCCACATTAAATAAGAGAACGATTCATGCAATATATATTTTTTTCTTACTAAATGGCACCCTCGAAATGCATGCGAGTGAGGAGACGAGGACTGCGCCGCTGGTTCTCCGCCTGCTCTCCGGACAGGCCCTTCTATTCCCGGCACCGTCACTTGTCTAAAAGCTCCAGCTTGTTCGGTCTCCTCATGGCTGTAGCAACACTAGCTTTCCATTCCCTTCGTGATGTTGATGGTAATTTGATTCAGAAGCCTTAAATTAGTGATGACTGGCGTGATGATGAAGTCTAAGTCGTGTGCCATCATTTCCTTCACCAAGCAGCGTGGGCTACTAACCGGGCACAACACCCTCTAATACAAAGGTTGGAGTTCCATATATATTTTTTCTTTAACAGGAATTCGTATTTGGTGTGGCTTAACTGTATTTCAGAAGGTCATCAGACTAACTGTCAGACTGCTTCCCTGAAACATTTTTGTGCTATTGTTTAAAAAAAAAAAAGAATTAAAACAGTTGGCGTTAATAAAAATGTCAATGTGAAATGGATGTCCTGAGCTCGTGTTCTGTTTGGAGGCTGCTTCCAGGGGCTGGAACCGCTGCAGGGACCGGAGCTGGGCCCAGGGCCTCCCTTGTCCTCAGCTTTTCCCTACGGCACGGACGCTACGGAGAGAAGAAACACTGGAGAAGTAACTGGGGGTTGCAAAGTGAAGGCCAAAAATACATATTAGTAAACTCTTAAACCCCTAAAAAGTGGAGGGTGCAGAAGAGGCTGCTAAAGGGAGTGAGAAGCCCCAGGAAGGGGCAGCTTCACCGCGGTGGGAGATGGGGTGGTCCCGAATACGGTCACGTTGGCAGCATCCCTGGGGAGCAGCGGGAATTGTTCATCCCGGGTCACATCTGTTAAGTTTGTGGGTGTTTTTTTCCCCGCTGTCAGCACTGCGGAGCCGATGCAGTTTCAGAAGCGTAAGCTGGTTTCTCTTCTGCTTCTTGCACATTGACAAAATAACATGCAAAGTTGTAATTCCAGCATGACTGCTGATGTATGAAATGAGACGCGCTGTAGCTGCGAGCTGAGGTGGTCTTGTTTTGACTTTAAACAATGCAAATGACATGCAAGCAGTTGAAGGAGAGAGGCAAAAACAACGAGTTTGTGGTCAGTGAGCAAACTGAATACTCGCAGCAGACTGACTAGTCCCAGTCTCTTCTGCGTGCAAAGAAAGTAGATTTTAATTCTTCGTGAAAGAAAGTTGGGGATGTGTCCGCTTAATGTGAAACCTTTTTGTCTCGAGTATCGAACTCGCACAAAGCCACTTCGATCCAGGGGAGGGAGCTGAAGCGTCTTCGCTGCTCTCAGCCCCTCGCCACTAAACACCGACATTCAAATAAATGAGTCGCTGCTTAAGCAAGTCCCCAAATCCCCTTCCCGGCTCTGGGGGCTGCCTGGGATGGGCAGAGGGCGGGTGACGACCTCTATTCCCATGCTGATCCTCTGGGTAAACCAGCCAGGTTTGCCCACAACATCTATTAAAAATCACATGGACGAACTCTCCAAAGCAATTTGGAAAAGGCGAGGTTTGTAATACCAGAAATACACACCTACATATTGGCATTGCTTGGATATTTGCAAGTGTCTTGTACGTGGGATAAAATAACACTAGTCTGTCAGGGGAAAAAGCACAAGTTTGCCAGGCTGATGTGGAATTATCTGGAACTGCGAGTTTCAAAATACAGTTTATTGTCCCCAAAGGCCCAGATTTCAGACCAAAACTTTACCTAGCTTAAGCTGCGTTGCAGCATCTGCAAGGACATGTTATCTGCTTCCCCAACTGCCAGGGTCTTTTCCCAAACCTAATCACAATAGCAGCACAGAGGTATTTTAAATTATATAATAATACGGAGGTATTTTAAATTATTGCAAAGCTAAAGGGTGTACAGTGATAAATAAGCATATGAATTCCTCCAAAAAATAATAATACAACGGAACAAAACCTCTTAAAGCTCCCCTCCCAGGTCCTGTTCTAACAGGTACCTACTCGTGTCTTGGCAGGGTCAGGAGATACACGGAATCCCGGTGGTTTCTTCCGCTGACAGTCCCTGCAATTGGCCATCCTGCTCCAGGGAAATCCTTCCCCCTGCGCTCTGCTCCGCTTGGGAACCATCCCAGCCCACGCAAGTGAAGATGAGGGACCCTCCTGTCGCCCAGCACATCCAGGATGGCGCAGGATTCACGTGTGTCCCTTGGCCAGCAATGACCGTGTCGAGACGCATCGATTTTACCCAGCAAAGGAAGGACCCGGCTGTTCCGCTACGGAAAAGTCAGGCCGGGCGATTTGGCATCGCTCCAGCACCGGTTCAAAGTGACAAAACGTAAAGAGGACAATGTGCCCCCTATAAGGTATTCCACCAGGCTGCTCCTATGGACTCATAACAATCTTTCTTTTACAGGGACCCAACCAGGAAAGAGAAACACGGTTACGGGAAGCCTGGACACGACTGAAGGAAGAAGGAAGCGGCCGCTGCGCCGGAGGGACCAGGTGAGTGTCTGCCCAGCCCCGTGTAATTTAATCATCTGCGCTCGCTGCCAAAAGGTGGATTTAATCACCTCGCTGCTAGGAGAACCCGTTTAAGACCGACTTTGGTCTTTGCACAGAGGTGAGGCTGAGCACGGGGAATCTCCCGCGTTGCTGCAATTTGGTGCTAGGGAGATGAACCAATCCACGCTTGGTTTCCTCCAGAAAAAGAGCCAAGGGAGGTGGGTATCCTGTGCATTGTGTAAATAAATATTCTCTATTCCTATTAAACGCCTGAGTTAATATAGCTCTGACTATAAGGCCTTGTCCTTGCTTGAAAGCTGATCAGGACTCAGCCTATTTATGGATTGAAAACGCTGCAGATGCCGTGAACATCCCCACGCGGATCCGACCTGCGCTGCGGGGACGGCACCGCTGGATTAAAACGTGTCCTCGACTTCCCCGCTGCAGGGAGGCTGCTCCCACCTCTGCTCTTCCATGAGATGGGAAATGCAAGAAACCTCCCATGTGCCGGCCCTCTGCATTGGTAACGTTTTGTATTTCCAGTTTTCTTTGAAAAAGCAAGCAAATGCTCATCGCATCCTTTTCAGCAGTGAAATCTGTGTTGGATGCAGCTCTTGGCGTGTTAACTTCTTAAAGCCGGAATCATCTGATTTACAGTGGTGCCTTAGAAACCTGCAAGAAACTGTTGAGCCCTGAGCGCTGGATGCAGCACACACAAAAATCAGAGCTCCTGCTCCTCGGAACTCATCTCTGCGCATGGTTTTCTGAGAAACGTGGAACTATTGAGCAGCTTAATGGTTTTAAGTGTCATCTTTTGAATTTCAAAGGTGGGAAGGGAAACAGGTGACTTTACTCCTGTGATTTGGAGTTACCATGAGAACCTGGATCTTCTCACGGGTGCTCTGCAAGGCTGCTCTCGCTATGGCAGCACTTCAAGCTAATGAATATCTACATCCAGAACCCATTTATGAAATGTTCCCCTTTCTACAAAGGGGGGAAATGAAGGCACAGAGATCCAGCGATTCCAGTGGCAGCAGGATGAGCTGGGGATCCTGAGAGTTGCTTGGTGTCCCTGCGGCCAAAACGCACCCGGACGCGGCCACCTCGGCCTCATCCGACCCCTGTCGCCCGCTCAAACAACCCCAAGGGCCCTGCGTGTCCCCAGAGCTGTCCCAAAGGTCAGCAGCTTTGCAGCATCTCCCTCCTCGTTTCCGCAGGCACTTTATGAAAGCAGATGATATAAGCGGCTGTACCCGGAATGCTGAGGCTGCCATTTATGGCAATGAGGAGCAAAACGGCGGATCCATCGCGAGCGCCGAGCTCCCGACTCCGCGGCCTCTTGGCCTTTTTCACGCTGCCTTCCTGGCCTTGCTTGTTCACCAGCGTTCCCTATTTCCAGCTGCCTCCAGCTGGGAATATCCCTCGGTTATGAACTTCCTCTCCCATTTATCCGTAGGCAGGCGGTAGAGGAGGCAGCTCCTGGAGAGAGCCCCTTCCCAGGAATCCAGGAGGCAGAAAGGGAGCCCCGCACGTCCCTGCGGAGCCGGGTTTATCCCCCGGAGCACCCGGCTCTTCCCCGGCCTGCAGGAAGAGTCAGGCAGCCGCAAACTCCCTAATTGTCCCTCCTCTCCCTGCCCTTTGTATTTCACCCCACAACGGAGCCTGGCTGTGGTACTAATTGCTCCCTGCCCGCAGAGACCTGCGGTCACCGGGAGCCCGGGATTACCCGGCCGCACCTCCGTGCTGCTCCTCTCCGCTTTTCCAGGC